GCAGGAGTATTCAGCAGGGTTAATTTGGTCAGCTAGCACAAAGAGAATTGAATGTCATGACTGAATGTTATGACATTGATCGTATGACATCAGGTAGCTGACAAGCATGTTGATTTTCTGTTATATTGCATGAGTCAGCTCAGGCAAGATTTCAGGAGACTTATTAGGGGTGCCTAGTCATCTCAGGAGAGATTATAGGCAGTGCTGACCATATCATGAAATGGCATGACCTAATTCAAAGCACCTTGCATTGTGGAAATTAGTTTTACTTTGTTAAAACTAATGGTTGTCACTTTGGATTAGCCCAAGCCCAGTCTGCATTGCTATTTAAGGAGGAGCAGAAGCAAGGGAAAAGCAAGCACTCACATCAAGAAGAACTTGAGTGTAAAATAGAGGTCTAGGGTTTGAGAGTCCCTTGTGTGTAAGTCACCCTTTGTATCTTTTGATACATTGTGGTAGACATATTTGTAAGTGAAGAAGGCTAGTCTTCACGTATGAATTCTGCTTAAGAATACATGTAATCTAAGCAACTGTATGGTTGATGATTGCATTGGTTAGGTAGATTCTAAGTTGTGTCTCACTCAAAGCTGTTAAGCAAGAGTGTGTGTTCCTTGATCAAAGCTGTGAAGCAAGATCAAGGTATATTTTGAATTGTCTCTTCAAAGGTATTTTGTAATTGTAACAGATATCACTGTTGTGTGATTGAGGGGGAGTGAGTGGGTATACTCAGGTCTATAGTGTCTCTAGGTTGAAGTGTCATTGGGTAGGGATTAAGTGAGGAGTGTAAACTGGAGGTTTAACTCTGAATTGTTTCTACTAATAGTGAATTTCCTCCCTGGCTTGGTAGCCCCCATATGTAAGTGGTGTTGTCATTGAACTGGGTAAACAATTATTGTGTTATTTATCTTTCTGCATTTACAATTCAGCACTTTAAATGGTTAGATAAATAGGTATGTCAGCCTGCAGATGTTACAACAGAGGTAATGACATTGGTCATGACATTGGTACAATTTGATGAAATTTAAATTGGTCATGGTCTGTCCTTGTTCTGTTCTAGCAGAGATCAATGTTCTTGGAACATCTGAAATCTGCATACCAGAATTTCATTACCTTCTTCCCTTGCAGCACTCCCTTTTTCAACTCCAACATTACCTTCTTCCCCTGCAGCATTCCCTTTTTCAACTCCAACATTACCTTCTTCCCCTACAGGATTTCCTTTTTCAACTCCAACAGTATGTTCATCCACTGCAGGATCCTCATCAACTCTAACATCCCCTGCAGGATTCCCTTCCTCGAACCCAGCAGTGACTTCATCAACTCTAACATCACCTTCCTCCAACCCAACAGTGGTTTGTTCAACTTCCACAACTTCATCATGCAGTTGACTAAGTAACTCCTCTACCTCATCTACAATTTCAGCAGGGTCCTCATCAACTTCATCAACAACAACATCACAATAGTCAGGTTTAGACAATGTGTGTTCAATATAAATATTAACATTTTGGTGCACCCTATACAGATCTGCAACTTCTAAAGCACAATTGTCATCAACAAGTGGATTCATCCCAAATTGAAGGTCCTTGTAAAATATTGTTTCAAACTCCCTATAAGCTAAGTCTTTCAATACACCAACTAGCTCAAAATAACTCCATCTGTCTACATCTACCCTCAAATCATCTACTACTCCATTCTCATATACACTACGACCTTCATCTGTGAACTCACCACTATGATGAATTTTGAGAGTTATGTATTCATCCATGATACCTAATAATATCATGTAAATAATTAAAGTTTACACTAACAAATTTACATAAACCCTAAATCTGAACCTCTACCAGAAAACCCTAAATCAGAGAGAAATGAACTAACCTTTTGATTATGTCTCTTGAATCGTCTTCAATCCTCAATCAGAAAACCCTAAATCAGAAAACCCTCAATCTTTCGCGTCTGCAAACCTTGAATCGTCTTCAATGACTCAATGAACTCTCCAAGACTCCAAGATATGATTACACTTCTACAAACTTGTCGTGCCTTCTTCTGGGTAACGGTGGGTAATGAAAACGTTAGAATTGTTTTTTTTCCTCTAAGACACTTCATATCCACGTCAGCAGCTCCACTTGGACAAACGGGATAATTTTTTCAAAGTTTGACTAACGGCAACACATAGAAGGATAAACGTGACACCATTTTAAAAGTTAAAGGACCAACTTGTCACTTTTTAAAGATAAGGGACAACATGGACCCCGAACTAAAGTTAAGGGACGAAAAAGGTTATTTTGCCTTTTTTTTTTAATAATTAGGACAATTTTTAACCGTCACTAATGAATAGTAAATTTTTAGTGACGTTAAAAAAGTGTCACAAAATAAACAGTAATATTTAGTGACAGTTAAAAATCATCGCTAAAATTTTTTAACGACGGGTAAAAACGTCACAAAATAAACAATAATATTTAATGACGGTTAAAAATCGTTGCTAAGAACTTAGTGACGGTTAAAAACCATCGCTAATTATTGAAAATAAAAATTAAAAAAAAAAAAAGGAGGGGGGCATCCTCACATAAGAGATCTATTGAGGTCTTTTACAGTAGACCGCGCCCAAAAAGATAGGAAACTTTTACCGATGCAGAATTACATATTTACATATGGCCAAAAGAATTACAAATGCCAAATTATATATATAGTACATATTTTCATATTATTTCATATATAAAAATAATATGAAATAGTACATTAACTCCTAATATTTTTTGGTAAGCTAGCAGAAAAATGGAGTCATTAATCATAAACTAAGATCTCGGTGCATAATATGTAAAGTAAATACTTGTCGAAATATTCTGTTAGCTAGCTTTGAGGTTTTCTCTAACTAGGAATAAAAGAATGTCAATGTTTCAAGAGGCATGAGCGCAGTTTAGAAGTAAGATTGAGAAATGCCTCTTCTTTGCAAGGAATAGTGAGACCTCCCATTGAATGATTGTATCCAAACTCTTCTTGAGCTATACTTAACAAGTCAAGAAATGAAGGATGGTATAAGTAAGATATTGGAACCACAAATCTTTTCTTTTGAGATTCTCCAACATAGACAGCTACATGTCCTTTCGGAACATTGGAATGATTTCTAGTTTGGAAATGTTGTGACGATGACTTGAATATCTTGTTTGCATGAAGAACCATAAATGGAAAACGAATACCCATAAGAAGATGGTTTTGGAACTGAAGGCTGAATTTGGCGTTGTTGTTGTTGTTGCAGTATATATTTATTTATTTACTAGTAGTAATGATTAAGACGGAATGGGAAGCCATACATTTCCAGAAGGATGATATCAATAATAGACTATACTAGTTATTTGGTAATATATGGTGCAACAAAGCATTGGGTCCACTGTACGAGATTCACAGAAAAAACTCACATGGTTGCACTGAAAACGAAAAGAATCATCACATCACATCACACGGTTGCATGTGATGGGGCATTATTAAAGATGCAATAAGGCTCAAAAACATAGCACTGCCAAAGTAGCAGCAATTAATCACACTTTCATGCGTGCATATATCATAGTAACTAGGTTTCATAAGTTAACCAAACAGTTGAGTGATGTGGTAAAGGTTGGAAAGCTAATGGCTTCAGAAACTAAATATAACAAGTTAAAGTATATTCAGTTGTCAAGGGTTTGTCGTCAATGTTGATCTGTTCCTTTAATGTTGGACCTTTTTTTTATATATTTGGAGTAGCTCTAAGGGTAAATCCTTCTTCTCTTTCTCATGTGCTAATTTTCTTAGTGTTTGTTTGAATGGGAGCTTCTAAGATTGTCTACTTTTTGGTAAATGTTTATTTTATCCTCTAAAATATTGGTATAGTTTTTATTAATTTTATAATACTAAAATTTTATTTACAATTATATATATAAATTAGGTCTTAAACACAAGATTTAAAGAATTTTGATATAATTATATATCTTTAGAATATATTGATTTATATCCTGACACCCACCCTAAATTATATATCTTTAGAATAACTTTTGAAGACTCCAAAAGTGAAACCAAACATTATATTTTGGGACAGATAAAAATAATTTTTGAGATTTATAAATTTTTGGAAAATTCTAGGGTCAAGTAATTAAAATGACTTCTTTGAAGAAGTCACATTCTAGCCAATGAAAAATGTGTCTTAAAGTTTTAAAATTTTAAAATGCTATATAGGATTATATCATACATACAATTTATTAGGTAACCTCGGTAATGAATATTTAAGTTAAGTCTCTAACATATTAAAAGTGACAAAATTACTCAAATCTTTATATTGATTTTAAATTTTAATATAAGCTTATTATGAAAATCAATTAAAACAATACGTTTCAATCATCTTTTTCAACTTTCTCATTTCATCAACATCATTGCTCTTCTTCATCGTTCTCATTTCGTCCGTCATTTTTAAGAAACTAAAGTTATTCATCGTGCTCATTTTTTAACCATAACACTGCAAACAAACATCAACATAACATTCATCGTGATCATCCGTCATTGTTGAACTCTTCTTCATCGATCTCATTTCGTCCGCCATTTTTGAAGAAACTGAAGTTATTCATCGTGCTCATTTCTGATATTGACTTTACTAATTTCAAATAAAGTATTATTGGGGGTGTTAAATTCAATTCCAATTTGGGAACATGAGTACCTTTGATTTTATTAGAAAATTAGGTATTGTGATTGATACTGAGTTTTGTTATGTTAAAAATTGTGTTAATTTTACATTACAGGGTATAGGACAATCTCTTGTTATACCTTAATATACAAAATCATATCTAAAGTGATGCCTACAAGAATGAGAAAGGTGTTGAGTAGCATTATTAGTAAGAGTCAAGCGACTTTTGTTCCTGTACAAAAGATTCTTAGAGGGTATAGTAGAAAAGGAGGGTATAGTGGAAAGCCTTGCAAACTATTATGCGAGTGATTGATGTAGCGTTTTGTTATGTTAACAATTATGTTTATTCAGGTTTACTATGGAAAAATACGACGATTATGATTCCAACGAAGTTCGTTGTAGTGATAGTGATACATCTGATGTTCAATCAAATGATGCTCAAGAGCACAGTTATTCGGTATCTAATGGGTATCAAAGTTTAGGTGATGGCAAGGGCGATGACAATATTCACAATGTGGTCGAACTTGATGCAATTGTAGGTGATAGAGTTGTGAATATTAATTTCATAAATGCTGATGAAATTCGTGCTACTGAATTTGGTATTGTTGATGAAGCTTTTGAATTTTATTATCGGTATGGTAAATGTAAAGATTTTTCCATTAGGAATAGTGATGTTAGGACAAGAAGGCCTGATGGCAGTAAAATAACAGTAATGAGGCTATTTGTATACAATAAACATGGTTTAAGAGAGAAGAAACACTTATGTAGGGTTGATAGAAAAAGATATCACAGACGTTTGACCCGTACTAATTGTCCAGCTAGGATTCGTGTGCACTACAAAGCCAACAAGGATAGATATGTAGTGTTAGTTTTTGAAGAGGTTCATAACTATGAATTAACCCTATCTAGGTTTATGAACTTACATCCCATTTATCGTGAAACTTATGAAGCAGATAGAGCTCAGATTGATGGTCTTCAGTCACATGGAATTAGAACTTGTCATATAATGGGGTACATAGTTGCTCAGAAGGGTGGATATGCTGGTTATGGGTTTAAAAAGAAGGATTTGTACATTTACTTTGATAAAAAAATGTGTGTTACTATTAAAGACGGTGATGTTGCGGGTTCTTTAAATTATCTAAATGTAAAGTCATCTACTGATATGACGCTATATGTTGAATATGCTGTCAACAATGATGGACGAATGAAGTCTCTTTTTTGGGTTGATGGAGCAATATGCCTGACTATTTTTGTTTTGGCGATGTGGTTGCGTTCGACACAATATACAAGAAGAACAAATACAACTACCCTTTGGTAATATTTTTAGGGTGTAACCACCACTCTCAAATTATTATTTTTGGTGTTGCATCGGTATCAGATGAAACGACAGAGACGTATAAATGGTTGTTGAAGTGTTTTTTAGAATGCATGAAAGGTAAATATCCATCAATAGTTGTAATAGACGGAGATGAGGCTATGAGGGAAGCTATAAAACCAATGTTTTCGGATGCGAAAAAATCACTATGGGCAACTGCATATCTACGTGATAAGTTTTTTGAACGTATAAGAACTACGTCTCAATGTGAACTATGTTATGAAGAAAGGTTGCATCTTTGAATTTATGCACAATTTTGAGCAGGCTTTAAGTGAGTCACTACTAGAAAACTTCATTTTAGCTGCGAATTTAGCTTCGGCCACCGACACCGAGGCTAACTAGCCTTGACAAAATTGAGGCTATTCAAACACAAAAAAAGTCATTTTAAAGTTTTTCTTTTACAATTATTTTTATTTAATTCATTAGACCCGGCTAGGCCGAGGCTAAATATTTTTTAATTTTTGAATTATTTTTTTTAAATATTAGACACGGTCAAGCCGAGGCTAACTATTTTAAGCTGCGAACTTAGCCTCGGCCTCTGACACCGAGGCTAACTAGCCTTGACGATACCGAGGCTACTTAAACGCAAAAAACCCCATTTTAAAGTTTTTCTATTTTTTTTAAATATTACGCACGGATGAGCCGAGGCTAACGTTTTTAATTTTTTCCGAATATATTTATTTTATCTGATAGACACGGATGAGCCGAGACTAACGTTTTTTATTTTCTTCGAATATATTTATTTTATCTGATAGACACGGATGAGCCGAGGCTAACTATTTCCCACCTTGTTTTTCATGTTTCCCTCTTAACTCCTTTCATAGAACCCTAAAATCAAACCAAATACATTTTCAGAAGAAAAAAAACCCTAAAATCAAACAAGTGAAGTCTGAGTTGCGCGGAAAAGACATTTGAGTTGTAACTCAGTCCTTTACACATTGAGCCATGCAAGTGGTGTCAAATGCTCGCCGAGTCTCTCGGCTCTTGCAATCTGCGATTTTCCTTTTGTCTCATCTTCGAAGCACCGAAGAACCGATTCTCTCAGGGCTCATACAATGCAATTACCAGCAAGTGAAGTCTAAACCTTTGGGTTTCTTCGCGTCAAAGGCTTTTTACAGTTCTGGAGCTGATAATGTAGAAGGGACTCTAACAGGTTCCTCGTTCAATTGTGAACTGGAAATTCCCTTTTCGAATTTCATTTTTGTGATGTTTACTGATTTGTATTGTTGAATTTTAAATGTAGAAGCTGTGAAGGATCTTTATGATAAAATGCTTCAGTCTGTAAATGTTAAAAGATCCATGCCTCCAAATGCTTGGTTGTGGTCAATGGTTGCTAATTGCAAACACCATCATGATATTAGTCTTCTCTTTGACATTTTGCAGAACCGCCGCAGATTTGTTAGTTTCTATTCTCTTCCCCTCTCACCTCTTTATTTTCAATTAATGGTTTATTGATTCGCTCTCTTTGCTATGGTGATGAATTTAATCTATTTGGTGAGCAGAGGTTGTCAAACCTTCACATACATGACAATTTTAACTGCAATCTCTGCTGTGAAGTCACTAAAGCTTGTGTTCATGCCGGAGCTCTTGATTTTGGTATGCTTTATTTGCACGTCCACTTTGTCTGATATAAATCTGTGTTGTTTCATTTGTCAAATTTGAAGATATGAAATGATTGGCTTGTTAAATTGTTGCGATTAAAATTTTAGCATGGTTTAACTAGCAAGGTTTTAGCAGTCGCAATCATCGATATAACTTAGAATTGCGGTCAAATATGGATGAAATTGCAGCTGAAAAAACCATTATGACGCGGCTCAGACTTCTGTCGCACATCTTTATTTAAGACCACGGCTTCTGGATTGAAATGTAGTAGGCCTGTGAAGGAAAACTAAGGACAGAACAATGTATTATTTTTAAATCATGCAATGCAATACTAGTGTTAATCTTAGTTATCTTTTGTTTGATCAATATTTACAATCTTTATTAAGGATGAGTTAAACCAAGTCTCTTCTTGTTATGCATTGGAATTTATAACTACTGTACTATTTCCTATGGAAGACAGGGTCCTGAAATTTCAGGGGGATAATCATGTTTGAAAGGGTTGGTGGTTGTTGAATAATGTATTTATTTGATATTGTCTAAATCAAACTCATTTTGTATATCTAATGGATTGTTCAAATTGCACAACACCTCATTTTTCTGTAATCCATATTTCTGCTGAAATTTTTCAAATGTTGTCAACCGTGGAACACAAGTGCTGGTATAGTCGTTTAACACTTTGTATTTAGTAGTATATCAGGTAACAATATTGATTTGTTCAAGTTCTGTTACACCATAGCCACTTTTTGTCAACACTTTATTACCTTAGGCATTGTCATGGAAACCTTAAATGTTCTTTTGAGGAAAATTTAATTTTTATCTTAAGAGTTTACAATGTATAACAATTTTTTCCATTGTTTTTGAACAAATTTTCGGCAACTACAACGTTGGGAACTTGAGCCATATTTGAAGTTTTCATAGCTAGGATATTAGTGGTACGACATCTCTTAGCACCCTTCTTTCTCTTAACGAAACATTCACCAATCTCATACACCATACACTGAATGATCTCCATAGCAGTTTCGTTGCTGAAATTCAAATTTTATATGGCACATCAGCAATGTAATCTGAATACCAAATTATAATTCCAAAAAATATATAATCTTCACAGACCAGTATTTCTAATCATAATTTATAATCTCTATAATCAGCATATATAATCAGAATTTATAATCTTTACAATCAGCATCTATAAACACATTATATAATCAACATCAATTGGCAACATCTATAACCTCTACAAATTCAAATAAGTATTACTCTATTTAAGATGTAATCAACTGATTTATAGAGTAAAAAAGAAATACAGTAGAAGAACAAATATGAACTCAAATTGAACCATAAACTGGAAAACAAGCATTTGCAAATATGGAAACTGCGAAAATCAGATTGTGTTAAAACATAGTCGTGCTTTCATAAGTTATAACGAGTAGAAAATAAAACAATAGGAAAACATGCTTGGTAATGAATAATAATATCAATTTCAGATGCGTTACAAAGCATTATAGTAGAAGATAGACTAGAAAACAACATTGTTTTTATTCCTCATGCTTCCATCATTATCATCGAAAATGTAGCCACGGCAACACCCGCGCATATCATCTGCAGACATGTTTCGAATCCTAAATTTTGGCTACAGAAAGATGGATTACAAGATATTGTATTGGTCTTGGGAATATCAAGTAGAAGTACAACAAAGAAACCCTATTATTTTTTATTAAATGTTAAAAAAATAAGTTATGTTAACATTTCCCACTACAAATATCAAACATTTTTTATATTTATTCTAATATAACCTATATAAAAATATTATATTTATTCATTGCATAAAATATTAAATTATTTTTTTGAGTGCATACAATAAGATATCAGGTCATTTTTGCTATATTTAATTATTTCTTTTAATTTTTTACCGTAAAATTAAATTAATAAATTTAATTATCTTTGCTAATATACTAGTATATATATTTATTCATTGCATAAATATTATTTTTTTGAGTGTAAGCAATAAAATATTTAATTATATCTTTCAAATTTTTACCATAAAATTAAATATACATAAATTTAACTATCTTTGCTAATATATACTACATGACTATATTATATATAGTCATTGCATTAAATATTATTTTTTGAGTGCTTACAATAAAATTTACAATTTTTTTTAAAAAAATTTTACCATAAAATTAAATATTCATAGATTTAATATCTTTGCTACATGACTATATTATATTTATTAAATTTTATTTTTTGAGTGAGTACAATAAGATATCAGACCATCTTTGCTATATACATATTTTCATTGCATATATTAAAATATTTAATTATTTCTTTCAATTTTTTATCATAAAATTAAATATTCATAATTTAGAATTATAAATTTTTTTCTTATAAATTAATTCAAAGGGTTTAGATTTATTTAATCAAATATTTTAAAATATGCCATGCCAATAATCCAAAAAAAAAAAACAAAGACTTAAAAATCTTGGAGATTTTCCTTTCATTGTGTAGTTTCAAATTCATCGTCTCTCTTTTCTTCTATTGAAGGTCTTTAACAATGCTACGCAAATCCTTCAAAAGCTCTGAGTTGTCGCAACCATAACATATTGTCCCACTGTATGTTGCTGCATCGTTACTTTGATTTGGAGGTTGAGCATCGAGTTTATCATCCCATATGAACAATCTACAACTTCTCACTTCCTAAAAAAACGCAAACAACCATAATCTATAACAAATTACAACTCATCAAAAAAGAAAGAGTATAAAAGAATATGAAATCAAACTCACCCCCTCCCCCCCCCCCCCTTCCGAATTTGCACATTTCCAATATCTCCTTTTAGGGTTATCAATTGGGTTGGAGATAAACAACCTCATTGGTTTATTGCAACCACTTTGGGATTCAGAACGTCATGGAGTTTGAAATAGATGAAAAATACATGATTGAATGGAGAAGTGAAACGAACCGAGCTTGAAGGTGAATGTGAAGAAGAGATAGGAAAATTTGGGAATTTAGGGTTTTAAAACAAATGAATCTGGTTCACGATTTATAAAGTGACCAACATTATGTTGATGAGGCCCATCAAGGCCCAATTCCCCTTTGTCGGACACGAGCCTCAACAAGGCATATATGTCGGGCAGACGACTTCCTTGACCAGGAGGCTCACACGTTTCCTCCATGTTCTCCACGTGTTCCCCACGCGGGGACACGTCATCAGGAAACTACCCACCTCCGAAAGAGTCGGTCAACCCATATTCCGAAGATCACGGGGCAGTTGATCTAGGGCAAAGACCACGTTCTGGTCTTCATTACGCCACGTAATCCCTGGCAGTTACTTGGGTTGGGCATGGTAGTCTGGCCCAATACAATGTGATCGTTGGCCCTGCGTTGGGGGCACATGTAACACCCTTTTCTACCCCACAAATATTATGGCAAAATAACACAGATATCAGAGTAAATTATTAAATTTCATAGAAAGCCACAAAAAGGGCGTACATTTCTCAATGTCACAAAATAAGTCAATGCCCCGTGTACAACGGGTTTTTCCCAAAAGATATCAAAAATTGCTCACAGGCAGCGAAACTCAAAGACATAATCCTAAGTTTTCCTTATACGGGAAGATAATTAAAATAACTCAAATAAAAGATAACTTAACTCAAAGACCCCAACCCGATGTTACAGTATCAGAGCAAGACCCTATAAGTTGACCAAAGGCCAACAACTCAAAACTTCAAAAGTCCTCAACGGCGTCCACGGCTAAACATGATCATCTGCATGTTACCCACGTGGAGGTAACATTCAAACCGGCAAGGTGAGTAAAACAATTCATAATAATCAATGTATGTAATCAACATATAAATGGCATCATAATCATATTCAACACATTCATACGCTTCAATATGCCTCAAAGGCCACAACGTCATAATCATCAAACGTCATAGCTCATCATCATAATCATAATCATACGTCATGTCATCATAACTCATCATAATAGTCATCTTCATACATCATGTCATCATAGCTCATCATAATAATCATCATCATACATCATTCCATCATAACTCATCATAATAATCATCATTATACAACATAGAAAATCATCATTTAATCATGTACAAATCACATAGCGCTCACAGTTATACTCATATTAATTCATCATATTATCACATATTATCACATATTAATTCATAATTATACTCACGGTAATCCTCATACTATCGCCTATTAATCACATAACTTCACAGTCCCACTCATGCTAATTCGTCATAGAAATCACAGAATCAAACATCAAAGCATCGTTGCACATAATCAACATTCACGAAACTCTGTTACGTTCGCTGGCATGTTCGTTAGGCGAGTCTGGGGTGAGTTTCTTTGCTAGGCGAAGCATTCTTCTCTACGAGAGTCTGGGATCAACATTGTTCGCTAGGCGAACTGTGCGATAACAGCAAATTCTGCTATGCACCAGAACCTAAAATCACCCAAAAGGCTCCACGATTCACTTACCCAATGCCCCTAAAACATCCCTAAGGGCTTACAGTGATAAAGGCACAAAACCTATAGTTCATTAGGCCAATCCCATAACATATTCACGCCTTAAATCACAATTTTTCCTTCAATTACACCCTACGACATCAGAGTTACTCACTATCAAATATTATTATCCCTTCGGGGTCAAACATATAACAATTCAAGGTTTTTTCCACGAAGGCCTAACCTTTCCCTCTTCCCAACGGATTCCACAGTTAGATTCTCCCTAATAGGTTTAGGCCACAAAGGCCAAAGATCATTATTTCTCATATCTATGCTCCAACAGTCATGAATACTTACCTCTACACCACAACAATCAGAGTTCCCACTATCAATTCCCCTTTTCCCACAATCAAACCCAAAATCCCTTAAACCTTAAATCATCCATAATTACATTGAAAGTCACACATGGAAAATCATGAAAGGCTATACCCCTCATACATTAGTTGTCAATCAAAGCCTTCTCAATCTTTCAGGGAATCTCTCGAAGCTTCTGCCTCC